ACGAGCAAGAAAGTAAGAGATACAGCGAATACAGAAATAAATACTTAATAGACAATATGTAGGCATAATCACATGTTACAGTATAGCAAACAAACATGAGGTTATATAACTTACCCACAACAAAAGCTTAGTACCCCATGGTTAAATATTTTATGCACAATGTAAATAATAGCAAATTGTGACATGAAATTCAATGATTAATAGCTAGTACAAGAAAGAATAAAAATTGAAAATCGCCTAGTTTCGGCCATCTGCTCGCAAAACGGGTCGAAAATCGAAAACGTAGCAAGATTGGTTTATATACAGAGCTGTCGTATTTTAGTGTCAGAGATGTAAAGGATGTGTTGTCTAACTATAGGGGTAGATTATCATAGGCGGTACCGTAAATTTTCGTTATTTACGAAATTACACGCATAAAAGCGAAATTGCTGCAATATTATCAGCGATATATAATTAACAATAATAATAATATATATTTGCTGTCAGCAGATCAATAGATATAACATTGATATTGACAAAGTCACATAAACGATACATAAATTTTGTATAAAAAACACAAACACGTAGGTAAACTAACACTAAACAATAAAATCGCTCACTTTATATAGCGCTTTCTCCAGTAAAAATGCTTTTAATTTTTGTTTGAATATGTGTGGTGACTTTTCCATAGTTATACTGGGAGGCAACGCGTTGTACATCTTAATGCCACTATATGCGGGACTTTTTTCGTATTTAGCAGAGTTATGCTTAGGAATGGACAGGGATGCACCCTTTCTTGTAAAGTAAGTGTGGTAGGAGCTTAGTGTGGTGAACTGGTGCATATTGTGGTATACAAATATACATAACCTATATATATATACAGACGGAAGTGTTAACAATTTTTGGTTTTTGAATGTGGGTTTGCAGGATTCTAGTGGCTTAAGTTTAAACATAAGGCGAATGATCCTTTTTTGAGCTACAAACGCTCTAGATATTTCGGAGGAATTCCCCCACGCTATAATATTAAACGTCATATGTGGGAATACTATTGCATGGTACACCGTGAGCAGGGCACTTTTATCAAGAATATGAATTAGCTTCAATATAATATAATATGCGCTATTTAGTTTCTTCGCCACATGGTCAACATGTTTTGTCCACGTAAGATTTGTATCTACAAAGGTGCCTAGAAACTTAATGTAATCACCATTGTTGATAATTGAGTCAATGTTAGGTTTACCAAAGTACAGCCCTACAGTTTTATCCTTATTCAGAACTAAGTGGTTTTTAGTGCACCAACTTCCAAAGTCGGCTCTGACTGAGTCAATGGCTCGAGACAGGCTATTTATATTATCGGCAGATACTGCTATTGTAGTATCATCCGCAAAGCTAATTAAAAAGCCGTTATTAATAAAATGTGGCAAGTCCGCTACATATAATAAGTAAATTAATGGACCCAGCACAGATCCTTGGGGCACACCTAAGTTAACATTAAACTTTTGTGATAGTGTTCCTTGCATGTCAACAAGTAAATTTCTGCTAGTGAGGAATGAAACCAACCACTCAAGAATAGCTCCCCTTATACCTAGATTATAAAGTTTATTATGTACACATTGGCAGTTTATCGTGTCGAAGGCGCGGCTCAAGTCAAAAAACAGCACATACACTAATTTGTTTTTGTCTTTTTGTTCATGGATATACCGGAGTAGCTCAAAGGTTGCGGTTTCTGTTGAATAACCTTCCCGGAAACCGTGTTGAGATGCAGGAATTAAATTAAATTTGTCAACAAAAGAACTGACGCGATTATAGATTATCTTCTCAAATAATTTTGAGAAGCAACTTAAAATTGCGATGGGTCTATAGTTAGTAATTTCGTTACCACTACCGTTATTTTTAAATACCGGTATCACCCGTGCTGTTTTTAATACTTGGGGAAACACTCCACTCACAAGTGACTTGTTGAAAAGTGTTAGAATAATCGGAGCAATTGCTGGTATTACATATTTTAACATTTTCATCGGTAATCCATCTTCTCCCGTCGCTTGCGTTTCCTTCAACACTTTTGCTGTTGATAGAAGTTCGTGCAGGGTTATTGGATACACAAACATAGTGTTTTTAGTAGGTTGTACAGTGGTGTTGGTATTGGGACGAAAAGTTCCGCTTTCAGAAGCAAGTGTTTCAGCTACAGAGGAGAAATAGTTGCCGAAGTAGTATAAATTCGAAATTTGTACATCAGTACACATGAGTTCTAACTCTACAAATGAATGTTACCAGCAGATTGGCAGATTATTTTGTCCATCTGAAGCAGCGGTCGTGTCCACATCATCTTTGAATACAAGTCAAACATCGGAAAGTTTCGAGAAAATTCCATTCTTCAAAGATGTACCACAGGAAGAACTGATAGATGGGTAGGTATACTCATTTTCATCGGAAACTGCTTCAAATTGTCAGCCAAGGAACTACTGTTGATGTAATGCAGATTTTAATAGCTACAAAATTGTGCTACCCTCACTTTGCGAAAGCAGCTATTCAAAGCCTCAATAGTCCAACCAATAGTGTGGATGCGGAAAGGTATTTTAGTATGTATAACATTGTTATAAATGATCGGAGGCAACGTCTAAAAGACGATAATGTGGAGACCACTACAATGCTAGCCTTTAATTAAATTTTTTCTTGTAATTGTTTTTTTTGTTTATGCGAAATAAATGCGAAATTTTGGTTTTTCAAATTTTATAAATGCGAAATTTTGGATTTTTATTTGCGAAATTTACGTACCCCT